ACCTGCAATGAGGTGCTGACTCCATCGGCAAAGAGAATTCAGCATCGAAGAAGCGCCAAAGTCTCTGACTCATGGAGCATCTGCAAAGTGAGTGATATATCAGTCATGTATCAGTCATGTACTAAATAACAACCATTAGAAATCAACATGTTTGACTTGTTCCAACTCTCCGAGCTCATCTTGTGATACAACTAGGTCTCATATTCTACTTATTTAGCTAGTTTATATTCTTGATCTCATACACAAGCTTCTAAAATGCTGAGAATTATCCTGCTGGTGTTGTAATATAAAATTTGTCAGCATATGTTATATAAAATGTCTGGTTAGTAAAATCAGAACTGTGGGCGGCTCAGACTTCAATCAAATTTTCTGTGTATCACGTGATGTTTGGACTTGATGAAAAATGGCAACCGCGGTGGGATTTGGTAAAAATACAGAAGGATAATAAGGTACAAAAGGCATGGAAAAGGATAAGTAAGCACAAGGAAGCAGAAGTAAGGTACTAAACCTATGTGACAGGTACAAAAGGGTACTGAATGCATCCAAGGTCCCCTGTCCTGTTTTTGTGGGTATTGAGAGTCATACATTAGTGATATATCACTACCTGTGTCCTGTAGGGGTAACCAGAGTGATAAATTAGTGATATATCACTACCTGGCACCTGGTCCTGTTTTGGGGGGTAACAAGAGTGATACATGAGTGATATATTACCAGAGCTAGGGATCCACATGGATCCTCATCTTCATGCATTACTTGATTGTAAGTGGTAATAACAGAGTAACAAGAGTGATACATCAGTAATACATGAGTGATATATTACCAGAGCTAGGGATCCACATGGATCCTCATCCTCATACATTACTTGATTGCAAGTGGTAATTACAATGATTCATGTATGGCAATTAACTGATGATCACAATCTATTTAATGTATGATTATGTCAGTATAGACTCGACCGTGGGGCTGGGATTCAAGAAGGAGCCTGCTGGTGTGTTAGAATTGAGCAGTCTCAATTTAAAAGCCAAGTTTCTCGGAGTATATATGGTCATATTTAGCGGCAGCAGAATTAGATCCGTCTACAATCGCCAAGGCCACAACGCCAAGAACTGATGGGTTCATTGATGACAGATGAAAAGATGAAGGATATAGGGATACACATACGCAAAAGCTGAAGGGGCAGTACTTCTTTTGCAGCCCGGCCACTTATCGTCGTCCGCTTTGGAGGCACAAGTCACATAACAGACGGAATTGAGTTGCGACACAGTAACGAAATCATTGGAAGAGCACAAACATATTGAAGTACACGACAGCAGCCAACGTTCAAGAACAAATTTAAAGTCAGAGGTAAACAATTGGAACACAAAGGAAATATCCAAAAGATCATATCTCAAACCTGATCGATGCTGAAGACTCCGGTGGAGGGTTCATACGTGATGTTCCACGTAGTATTGTCATCTAGAGCAGCAAGATCTTGTTCGAAGAGACGATCGGTCTCGACTTGACCCTTGATCAAGCTGTTCTCCTGGTAGTCCGTGCCAATATACCCGCGTAGAATCGGAGTAAACTCTGCGTTCAACTTCTGCGCGTGCCCTACGCCGCGCCAAACTAGAGCCGTCTTTGGCATGGCCCCGTCTTGCTCGATGAAACCTGAACAATATGTAGCGCGAGAAATCTCGAGATAGCAGTTATACGTACCGACCCCTATATCCTGTTTGTATGGTGCGCTGTTCGTACATTGAATATTCTTCTTCGGCACCAATGGGTCGGTTTTGGGATCCTAAGCTTGTCTCGCAAACGGACATCGATAATGCCAGTAGGCGTACTTACGGAAAATTGGTATACCTCGCCCTTCTGGGTTAGAATGGTAGATTGCCCAACCTAAGTAGCAGTCCGTGAGATCAACGACAAATTCGTGAATCCATCCGACTCTCACGTCGATAGAAACCTCGGTCGAAGCACTTTGGATGACGTCGTTGGAAACAACAACCTTGGTGAACGCAAGTCTGAGGGGTTCAGTCGTAAATTAGCTCTTCGCACAAGCTTCGAGTCGCCCTTACTGTGATCGATACACAATTTCGCAGTGGTAAGCGCCTGTAGGTGTCGGTGCTTATTTAGATAGCCCAAAGCAGTGATAGTATTCACCCACCATCGGCCGCAAATTTCCTGACCCTATTCGAAAAGTCACATCAGCGAGTGAGCGCGACAACAAAGATGAAGACATGAAGGATATACGTACGCAAAAGCCGATGGGTAATACTTCTTGTACAGCTCACCGATAGGCTGATCGTCGAAAGTCAGAAGAAGGTCGATGTCTGCGCCGAGATCCTGGGATTTGAAGGTGAGCTTTTTGACGAAGGCATTTGAATCCATGGTGTAGAGTCGAATTCGAGATTGAAAATACAAGAAATTTGGCGTTCGACGTTCAGACGTGGCCTAATAATTGCTGAGTCCACGCGACGGGTTATATACCACCCTCTGGAAGGACAGCGACCCTGTATCCGTAGAGATCGAATGTGGAAACTAGAAACGGAGAGCCTTTTTCAGGTCAAGTTCAGCATGCTTCACAAACAGCTGACCATTGTTTCAGAGTCCGTCCGTCGACGTACGAAATGATTCTTTTGACGCGTTAGCATTCGCCACTGTGAAGGGTACAAGTGACATACAGGAGCGATTTACGAGACTTCGAACCATTATGCCGTTTGATGAGATCTGCTGGTCCTTGTTCGGAGTAGAGTCATGAAGTGGTAAAGAAGGGTCGTATTGCAACTTGAACTCGATCTGGTTTTCACTCGACTTCTCCGGTGTTACGAGCGCTCCGAACGTCAAAAATGGGATAAGACAGGGTGATGATGATCGGACGCGATTGAACCAAAACATCCACGTGATCGCGGCGGCAATCAGTTGACATCGAACCGCCCTTTCTGCAACTCATGGACGCGCACAACACCGCCGACCACACCTACGCATGCCACTCCCTCGTGTCGGATGTCAGCTTCATTCCACCACCTAATACCTCTTTGTATAAAATATGTCTGTAATCCATCATGCTAAAGAATCAAATATCTTCTTCGGAACGCGAGCAGAATCGAATTCGGATCGGCCGTGCAAGGAAACCGACTTTTGGATTTTCGACACCAAAACACATTTGACGATCTGTTCTGGATGTCCTCAGGATCATGTATACCGCCACATCCCCATGCATCGATTCGGAACTGTCTTAATACCGGTTGTGGATCTGGGGTCAACGTGTACTACAATTACGAGGATGACCTCAAAACGTGAGCCATGCGGATATGATGCGGCCCTTTCCTCCTGATTCATAACTTTACTCATAACAACTACAGATCCCTCTAAACGACTTGATACCCGAGCCCCGTCAAACCTGCAACGGATCCTTGTATGTCACTTGTACCCTTTATGGCAGTGGCGAATAATGTGTCAGACGGTCAGCTGTTTGCAAAGCATGCCGAACTTGAATCGAAAAAGGCCCTCCATTTTAGCTTCCACATTCGACGTCTACGGATACAGGTGGGTGAACATTATCAGTGCCTTGTGCTATCTAAATAAACACTCATACTGACAGGCATCCACCGCGCGCATATTACATATCGATCACAGTAAGGGTCATTCGAACTCCATGTGGAAAGCTAATTTACAATGTGCCTCTCAGACTTGCGTTCACCAAAGTTGTTGTTTCCCATGATATCATCCAAAGTGCCTCGACCGAGGTTGCTGTTCAGGTGAGAGTAGGAAGGACTCACGGATTTGCCGCTGGTTTCATGGACTGCTACTTAGGTCGGGCAATCTACTACTTTAAACATGAACAATCAAATATTCCATTTCTCCGTAAGTACGCTTACTTGCCTTCTCAATATCCGTTTGCGAGACAACCCCAGGATCCCCAAACCGACCCCTCGGTGCCGAAGAAAAATATTCAATGTATAAACAATTCACCGTCCAAGGAGGATATAGGCGTTGGCACGTATAATTGCTATCTTGAAATTTCTCGCCCTATATATTGTTCAGGTTTCATTGAACAGGAAGGGGACGTGCCCACATCGGCTCTGGTTTGGCACGGCGTGGAGCACGGGCAGACGTTGAATGTGGAATTTGTTCCGCGTCTGAGAGGTTATATTAATGCTTGCACCTACCGGCAGAATGGCTTGATCAAGGGCCCAATTCACAGTAGCTGTCTTTTCGACCAAGACCTCAGTACTCTCGATAAACATACCACGTGGGTCGTCACATACGATGAGACCGCCAGAAGTTTTAGGATCGATGAGGAGATAACGAGCGAGGTTCAACATTGCTTTTCATGAACCTTTTTCAAATGTTGGCTGCCGTCAATTACTTCGTTTTGTGCTGTTTTGATGTTATTATCTTGTCAACTGTTCCCGTTTGTTGTACAACTCGTGTTTTCAAATTAAAATGTTCCAAGTAGTTCCTGACCCGTCTTATGATACAGGTGACAAACATCCTTTATACCAGGACCTGTCACAGTAGTAATGGTTTAGCAAATTTAAATGTCTGTCTGGCAATGTTAGTGTTGCCACAGCTAGCGCCGGCTAAAGCCGGCTCTGATTCTCGGGCTTGACCGAAACTCACAAGTCACGCTGCTTACGTAATCGAAACTCGGTCCGGCTTATACAGCCACGGCAAGTAGCTGCAAGCTGGCTCAAGCCTGTGTAGATAATTTTGGCGTAATTTAAATTTAGAAATGAGATTAAATTTAGAAACATTATCGATTAATTATCAACAATCCAAGTAAACGACTTAGTTCCCAAGATCCTTCACATACAACAAAAATGGCACCCCAAATGGTGGTACATTGTACCTTTGTGATGTTTGGACGTGCGTTAAGTCCAAAAATAGGTCCATATCGCACACACCAGGAAAGCCAAGCAGGTGACAGCGAGGAATGCAGAGATGTTGGGGGAGACGAGAGGTTCGCAGGATTGAGAAGTGACATTTGTTTATGTGTCGGGGCGTCCGTTGAAGTTTCAGATTGCATTGGCGAAGGTACTCGGGTTCAGGGTCTGAGAGAATGAGTGAGTGCATTCTACAGCATATCCTAAAGATGATTGAACTATTTCGGTTAGTAGCAACAATAATGTGCATGCAAATGCAAATGCACCGAACGCCATGCTTGCTCTGTCGAGGGATATGAGGAATGTAAGGTTGGTCGTCTCCTTCCGCAATGAATCCCCCATCCCCTTGTACTCTCCCTTCTTGGACTTGCAATGATGTGCATTCTGATTACTACCCCTAGGATGAGTCGGTAGTTGTACAACAGAAATGTGAATGATGCATGCACTCTGCCACTTTCCGTAGCTTCGCAAGTAAGGCGTCACCATGTGCAAAAATTATGAACACATTCTTGCATGTCTCAGTGCCAGTAGCAGGATCAACAAAGGGCTCTGTGATATCTGTGTGATTCATGTACAGGTTACCCCTTAGGACACAAACCGTTTCTGACGCGAAACAGCACAATCAGAACCCTTCTGTTAAGCAAAGCTGCACTCAAACAGCAATTCTACGACAAGATCAAAGGCGAAGCCATCAGCATCATGCGCGAATCACCCTGCAACACCCACCTTCAATCCATAGATCAAACAGCACCATTCTCTGGTAGCTTGAGAGATACCAAAGTTGAGATTTGATGAATTCTTGAGGAATCTGAATATAGTAATCATTATCAATTTGAACGGAACAGAGCAATCAGAGGACTTACTCCGAGCAAGTAAAGAATTCGGGTATTAATTCATGCACATCCCCTCGTATGTCATGCGACGCTGAAGAATATGTTCTCCTGATATCACTGAAGTATAAATCATTATATGTTGCCCCACATCCTGGTTCCAACTAAAGACTAATGCAAAAAGCCTGTCGGGAAAATTCCAGTTTCCTCCCTGAGGAGATACATAGATGTTTTTCTGCACCAAAAAGGAACATACCTGTAGCGTCTTGAACATATTGGTAAATGGCTGCATGTGAATATTGAAGTGGCAAACGATCATCGATCTGTACTCGGTGTCAAGAAAAAAATATGGGCAAATAGAACAAACTTACGAGCTGAAGTGTGTTCCGTAGTGAAATGGCTCTTTGTCAGCACTGCTCAAGTTAGTATAGTGAGTTTCCAATAGATCTAGGTGTCAAACTGGGGTCGGATGTCCTCATTTTCAAGGCTATCGACAAAAACATCTGGGAAGCCACTTGGCGACGTGACTTATCAAGGAAAATAACCAGCAGTGTGCAGCTATCTTTGAAGAAGATCTCGAACCTGACAACTGGATTAGTAAAGTGAAATGCAGTGAGTGACGCATCTCACCCTACATCCTGGAAATGGAACATCCTGTCAGAGAAGCCTGAAACTTGCTCTAATGACCTGTCACAGAAGATATTTAGTATGACAAAAGATAGAATAGAAAAGTGTTCTCTATACCATCGTTGAGCCCGCTGCGAGTTCCGAACGTCCACGGCACTTCCGGATATGAGGAACAATCCTTCCGGCGCATCACCTGCATCAATAACTTTGCCTTCACTATTCTCCACGAGTCCTTCTAACATGTACAGGTGGGTATGCCCGAAGATCAACATGCCAACTAGGAATCAACGATTGAGAATGCCAGTGAGCAAGTCAGCAATTTGATTGCTTATGAAAGGAATTGACACCGGATACTTGGCAGACAGTGCTAACAACCTCAATGACATCGCCAGGTTCGAGTTGATGCCTCACTCTCCTGAGTTTGTCCTCAGTTACCTCTTCAGCGAGCTGATGATCGCCTGGAAACAATGTTAGTCAAAATTGATCAAGCATCAAAAGTGAACAACCATCTTCGCCTGTATAAGATGGAACAACCACGGTATTCGGAGAAGCAAGTTCTGACTGGGACAGCGACAACAGCTCTGAATCAAAAGCTGACAAAGCTTCCTCATGACTAGTAGACCTCAAGTCCTGCACAGACATTTCCAGGAGGCTCTCCATCTTTGTCCTGGCTGATATCATTGTTTTGCCTCTAACAGTGAAAAACTCACTGACCTAACTCTGTGCAGTCCTTTGGTCTTGTCCAATTTCCACACGCGTTTCCGAGCTGAGTGGGACCAAATATTGTGTTCGGTCATCGATACAGATACATTTTCTTCAAAAGATGTGACTCTACATCGCTTTTCCTGGCTATAACAACAGTCAGTACAGCCCGCCCTGAAACTCCTTGCTGGCAATCACAATGTGTTGATATCGGGGATGGTTGGGACTGGGTCGGGCGAAGTGCACACTGTCAGCTGGTCACTGTGTGGCTGGTGAGAAACAGATAAAGCATTGAAATCAAAATCAGCACAACAATGAGCAAGATAGTGCAAACAACAGGCGAGAGGCAAAACAGTAGATGCCAGACAAAAGAAAGTCATAGAAGTAAGGGTCACTTGTCGTAGATGATAGCAGTGTCCTCGATATTGTCACACTCCTCCTCTGTGATAGCTCTAAGAAGAGCGTCATTTGCGCTGTGGGTAGATGTCAAAGGAGCCCATGTCATATACCACCCCATGTTCCATGTCCCGTTGAGAGGCTGCCCAACCTTTCGTAAAGTTAAGCCATTCTTTCTTGAGAAAAAACTTGACCATCTGCAATGCTTCCATCAAAACAGGACTGAGGCAATTCCTTTTCTTCGAATGGGTTTCGCTGCTGGATGAAAATACTCGCTCGCACGGCACCGCAGAGGCTTGTACTGGAGCGTAGTCCATGGCAATTAAAAATATAGTCGGGAATATGGACTGCAAAGCCTAGTCAACAGCTCGTGGTTAATGAAAAGGGTGTGACTTGAAGAGGTAACGGACTCACATTCCAGAATGCAAGTATGTCTATTCCATGAGGACTAAGCGTAGCCGTGGCATAAGCAGCGAACTCCTGATCTACTGTTTGACCACCACCGTGTTGATGCAGCACATGTGCATGTGCCATGGGAAGTCCATAGTGACATGAGCCTAGTGTGCGTGGCAGCAGTCGTGGGGCTACTACAGGTTGAGAATGTGCAGGATCAGTGTCTTCTGCTCTTTTGCTATGCATCTGCAGAAAAAATCAATCCAATTTTGTGCATTTATTTACAACATAGACATACCAGCTTCAAGATAAACTCATTGGCTTCAGTAACATGGTCCTTCTCCCATAGATTGTTCATCCAAGACATCTGCATCGCAGGGTCGATAACTATGAAAGTAATCATGAGATCAATATTTATTAAAACAAAACATGGGACTGACACATAGCGACAGAATAAGCATGTGTTGCACTCATCCGGTCAGTGTATTTGCTTGCCCAGGTTAAGCCTATGTCGACAATAGGCTTACAGTGAGGTACGTGCTGGCCAAGAGACTCCCAGCTATTGATCAACTCTTCAAAAGTTGGAACGGCATGGCTCAGTAAGGGAGTGCTTTCATTGGAGAGTTTTTGCTGGGCGGCATGCGGTGCCTGATATGAAATGTTAAATTAGATCACGAGCTTTGAACACATCAGTACTTACCTCCAAGATCACTTCCAGGTCCTGAAGGAACTGCCGATCAACATCACTAAATCTTTTGTTGGATATGCTGCATTGAGGCCAAGCATCAAAAAAGGCATTTACTGCCTGAGCCAGTATTAGTTTATGATGTATGTTTTATGATGTGCAATCTTACCTGCTGCAGTGTCCACAAACGGTTAATCATGATGTATGCTTAGTCCCATCTAGTGGGCTCATTGAGGAGGAGTTCTATGACCAGGAGCTGTATAGAGTCATCCTTGTCATCTCAAAACCAACCATCCTCATTACCCTTAAGGATGCAGTCACGAAACCTGTCACGCCACTGATTTGATGCACAGATCAATCACACAATTGTCCAGGCTCGCTCGAGAGGCTTGGTTTGCACGGCCTGGACATAATCGACTTTCTCAATAACCTGATCTTCGATTGTCCATGTATCGGACACAGTAGAATAGTCAGCAGTAGGGTATTTGTCAATGATAGAGCCCCTTCAGTGACAAATTCCGTATTATATGGGTCACCCGACCTACATAATATCCCATCTAAGACAGGCCAGCGGACTATGGGCCGATATTATGTATATCCCTGATATTGACAGATGGGCTGGGGAGGGATATTATTTCCGATGGAGACGGGTGGGCCCATCTATGCTGATATTATATATATCCCCAAAGATTTCGGGTGGGCCAATGTAATGGTTTATTGTATAGATGGGTGGGCCAACATACAGGAATTATTTTGTACATGGGTGTGCTGAGGGAGTGGTGGAATATGTATTATATAGACGGGTGGGCTGATGTAAGGGTTTATTGTATAGACAGGTGGGCTGACATACTGGAATCATTTTGTAGACGGATGGGCTGAGGGAGTGGTGGAATACCCATTATATAGATGGGTGGGCCGATGGAGGGGGATGTTATATAGATGGGTGGGCTGAGGTAGTGAGATATCTGTCTGACATTCACAGATTACCGAGTCTCAGATGCCCAAAAACTGAATCCCATTGTGCAACATCCATTCTGGACACCTGAACACCCCAAGCTCAAGACTGGAAACTGGAAACTTGTGAAAATGTGTGAAATTTCTATTTCCTTACACCAAACACATGAACACCTGAACACCCAAAGCCTGAAGCTTGAAAGTCCATTTATCAAATCACTGAGTGCCGAGTGATGATAAACCCAAAGCCTGAGACCCAAAATCCGAAGCCCGAAACCCAAAAACATGGATGCAAAATGACCATTTTTCATTCATTGCACAAATCACCGAGTGTCAAGTGCCAAAATCCGAAACTCGAGACCCAGTACACAAATCACCAAGTACCAAGTGCCGAGGGCCAAACCCCAAAGTCCGAGGCCCAAAACCCAAAGTCCGAAACCTGACAACATGTATATAACATATCCATTTTTTAGTCATTGCACAAATCACTGAGTATCAAGTGCCAAAACCCAAAACTTGAAACCTGGTATGCAACATGCCCATTTTTCATTTACATTAAACAAATCACCAAGTGCTGAGGCCCGCACCCCGATGTTTGAAGCCCAAAACCCGAAGCCTGAAACCCGAAAATATGTATACAACATATCCATATTTCCCTCACTGCACCAATCACCGAGTGTCAAGTACCAAAACCCAAAACTCGACACCCGGTACACAAATCACCAAGTGCCAAGTGCCAAGGCCCAAGCCCTGATGTCCAAAGACCAAACCCCGAAGCCTGAAACCCAAAAATATGTATACAACATATTCATATTTCCCTTATTGCACAAATCATGGAGTGTCCAGTACCGAAACCTGAAACTCGACACCCTGGTATACAAATCACCAAGTGCTGAGTGCTGAGGCCTGAGCTCTGATGTTCGAAGGCCTGAAACCCGATGTCCGAAGCCCAAACCTCAAAGCCTGAAACCTGATAATATGTATGCAACATATCCATTTTTCCCTCATTGCACAACTCACTGAGTGTCAAGTACCAAAACCCGAAACTTGAGACCTGGTACACAAATCACCAGGTGCAGAGTGCCAAGTGCCAAGGCCCAAAACCCGACATCTGAAGCCCAAATTTTGAAGCCCGAAACCCAAAAACATGTATGCAATATTTCCATTTTTTACTCATTGCACAAATCACCGAGTGTTGAGTGCCAAAACCCGAAACTCGAAACCTGGTGTGCAACATGTCCATTTTTCACTCATTGCATAAAACACCAAGTGTCAAATGCTGAAATCTGAAACTCAAAACCTGGTGTGCAACATGCCCATTTTTCATTTACATTAAACAAATCATTGAGTGCCGAGTGCCGAGGCCCGAAACCCAAAAACATGTATGTAACATGTCCATTTTTCATTTATGGCACAAATCACTGAGTGTCGAGTGCTGAAACACAATACCCGGTGCTACAAATGGACATGAATTCTGTATTTGTATGTATTATCCATTGATGTAGATTGTATTGACTACCGAGTGTCGGTACTTCGGACTCGGGACTCGCTAGCCAATATAGGCAAAGATAATGAAAAAATGGAAGTTGTTGTCCAAGTCTAGGTGAGTGTATTGGTAGTCTTTTCTTGTCCATCGGTTATCATTTGACCAAGATATAAGCTAAAAAAATCTGAAACATCGGCGAGAATGAAAAATGAAAGTTATTTTTATGCTTAACTTCCCTTAATGAAAGTTGTAGTCCAAGTCAAGGTGAGTGTATTGGTAGTCTTTTCTTGTCAATTGGTTATTTCATTATTCGGTACTCGGTACTTAGAAATCAGTACTCAGTACTTGGTTCTGATACTCGGTACCTGGTGTAATGATAGTCGCGGCTCTGGGCTCAAAACCTGTGTTTTTGATACTCATGTTAAACAGTATTTGTCCGACACATCCCTGACATTCCTGATCCTGATCCCGATGCCTGACCCCGACCCGAAAGTTTCAGGACCCAATGTTTTTGCATCAGACTCATCCTTCCTATGTCCTGTCCAGTCATATCTATCCCCACTGGTGCATATTTACTCGTTTTCGCATTGTTGAATATTACAGACAGTGTTATTACATGTAAGCATAGACCATTGCACTTTTGACATTTTTCACAATTTTCAGTATCTTGCCCTTGCATCCATGATCCAACCTTTTAATATATAATGAGCATAGCTTATATTATTGCCTCTTATGACCAAGATCAGCTCACAATAGGCTGGAGTTTGTGAGCTAGTGTGCATACTTGCCATTTCTCCTGATAAGGGGCCCATACCTTCAAAACATTGAATCTTCATGATCAGAAACCTGGAGTACATTTAAAATATATTAAGTATCATAGACATAAATTTACAGACAAATCCACCAAGAATTGAGTACTGAGGAAGTGAAATAGATAAGAAATGGAGTGTGGGAAACTTCAAAGACCCAAAGCATCGAAAATGGTCAGTAAAGCAATAATAGGACTTTAATGCTGAGTCAACTCATGTTTTCACTATATCCCTTCCACCCACCCCCTACCCTCAAGGCAGTAGGCAGTATGGGTTCCTTAGGTAGTTCACAATCTATCCTACATATTTTTAATGAAATCTTTGGCCTGAATCATCTATAAATGCGACTTTGTAAAAATATGTCTATTGTCACATTTCACACCTATGCCTGTCATTACATCAATCCTTCATGGATCTTTCTAAACTATCAGGGCTATTATAATGAACATATATGGATGTTATTCCAGGTCTCTGATCCCATCACAGGCTTGTCATGTTGGATATCTCAACATAATGTGCAAGTCTCACTATGAATCTTCATTCTTTTATCTTTATGCTCACTTACTGCACACATGTACAAATGCACGCCTCATCTTTACATCATTGCTAACATGCCAGACAAATATATAATCCTCATACCTGCATCATCCTACCTCAGTCTATTTGTTCTCAGACTGAGGTATGACTATACATTCATTATCATACTCGACACTGACTAACATTTAATGTAGCCTTCACATAATCCCCAATTGACAAGAATGACATGAGTATGAAAATCAGTGGTTCTGAGCCCAGCACCACAACCATCACTACACTGAGTACCAATACTTGGTAGGACCACCAATACACTCACATAGACTCGGACTACAACCTTCATTAAGAAAGTTAACCATAATAATAATTTTCATTTTTTCATTATCATTTTCCTATATTGACTAGCAAGTCCCGAGTCCTGACACTAGGTAGTCAATACAATTCATAAGTTATTTGAACCCTACATCAATGGATAATACATACAAATACAGAATTCATGTCCAGTTGTAGTCACATGTACTGGGTGTTGAGTTTCGGGTTTCAGTACTTGACACTTGGTGATTTGTGCAGTGAGGGAAATATGGATATGTTGTATACATATCTTTGGGTTTCAGGCTTTGGGTTTCAGGCTTTGGATGTTGGGCCTCGGCACTCAGCACTCAGCATTTGGTGATTTGTGTACTGGGTTTCAAGTTTCGGGTTTTGGCACTCGACACTCAGTGATTTGTGCAATGAGTAAAATATTGATATGTTATATACATATTTTCGGGTTTCAGGATTCAGGTTTTGGGATTCGGACATTGGGTTTTGGGCCTTGGCACTTGGCACTCAACACTTGGTGATTTGTGTACCGGGTGTGGAGTTTCGGGTTTCAGTACTTGACACTTGGTGATTGGTGCAGTGAGGGAAATATTGATATGTTATATAGATATTTTTGGGTTCCAGGTTTTGGGTTTTGGGCTTTGGACATCGGGGCTCAGGCCTCGGCACATGGCACTTGGGGATTTGTGTACCGGGTGTTGAGTTTCGGGTTTCGGTACTTGACACTCAGTGATTGGTGCAGTGAGGGAAATATGGATATGTTGTATACATATTTTTGGGTTTCGGGCTTCAGGTTTCGGGCTTCGGACATTGGGGCACCAGGCCTTGGCACTCACCACTTGGCACTTGGTGATTTTTGTACCATGCTTCAAGTTTTGGGTTTTGGCACTCGACACTCAGTGATTTGTGCAATGAGTGAAATATTGATATGTTCTATACATATTTTCGGGTTTCAGGCTTCGAGTTTCGGGCTTCGGACATCAGGGCGTGGGCCTCGGCACTCGGCACTTGGTGATTTGTGTACCAGGTGTCAAGTTTCGGGTTTCAGTACTCGACACCTGGTGATTTGTGCAGTGAGGGAAATATGGATATGTTGTATACATATTTTTGGGGTTCGTGGTTCGGGCCTTGGCACTTGGCATTTGATGATTTGTTTAATGTAAATGAAAAATGGGCATGTTGCATACCGGGTTTCAAGTTTTGGGTTTTGGCACTCAACACTCGGTGATTTGTGCAATGACTGAAAAATGGATATGTTATATACATGTTTTCAGGTTTCGGACTTTGTGGTTTGGCCCTTGGCACTTGGTACTTGGTGATTTGTGTACTGGGTCTCGAGTTTCGGATTTTGGCACTTGACACTCGGTGATTTGTGCAATGAATGAAAAATGGTCATTTTGCATCCATGTTTTTGGGTTTCGGGCTTCGGATTTTGGGTCTCAGGCTTTGGGTTTATCATCACTCGGCACTCAGTGATTTGATAAATGGACTTTCAAGCTTCAGGCTTTGGGTGTTCAGGTGTTCATGTGTTTGGTGTAAGGAAATAGAAATTTCACACATTTTCACAAGTTTCCAGTTTCCAGTCTTGAGCTTGGGGTGTTCAGGTGTCCGGAATGGATGTTGCACAATGGGATTCAGTTTTTGGGCATCTGGGACTCGGTAATCCTGTGAATGTCAGACAGATATCTCACTACCTCGGCCCACCCATCTATATAACATCCCCCTCCATCTGCCCACCCGTCTATACAATAAATCCCTTACATTGGCCCACCCATGTACAAAATGATTCCTGTATGTCGGCCCACCCATCTATACAATAAACCATTACATCAGCCCACCTGACATCTTTGAGGACATATATAATATCAGCATAGATGGGCCCACCTGTTTCCATCAAAAATAATATCCCTCCTGGCCCATCCGTCAACATCAGGGATATACATAACATCGACCCATAGTCCGCTGGCCCAGTCTTATACGGTATATTATGTAGGTCAGGTGACCCATATCATACGGAAATATGTCACTGTAATATGTAGCCCTATGTCTTCCACGAGACAAGGAAGTGGAATGACCTAATCTTGCCATGATGACTCTTGATCATGCATTGTTTGCAGACAAATGAACATGGGCTACACCCTTTGCAAGGCTGCCCAGCACAACATGGAAGGCATTACCAGGGCTGTCACCTTTTATGACATGGTGGATTGAAGCTGATTTCTTGAAATGGTACCAGAATTGACCATCATTCCCGGCATCGGGTTGTGGCATGTGCATGGACATCAGGACAGCTGCTATGTCCGATATGCGTCAAATTTCATTGAAGGCATTGGCCACATAGATGGAGAGATCATGGAGACTCTCTGGGCACGTCTCAACCTAATTTCCCCCACTGCTCAGGGAATGTCTTCCCCACATCGACAGGAATGTCTTGATTTTCAGATGAATGATTCCAACTTCTGCAAGATGATCCACATGAAAAGGACCCTTTGCTGTAAATACAAGCAGGTGAAAAATTGCATCGCCAAAAGTGAAAAGGCTTTCAACAGACTTGGTGAAGCAGCACCTGCCAATTTAAAGACAGAATGGTTGGCCAATGAGAGGATCACTCAGTCCAGCAGAATAAATGATCCTGCATCGATGGATGTTTACAATATAAATATCAAGAAGGTTAAGCTGACCATGTCTTCATAGAAGTCTGAATTAATGTCACACTCAGCACTGAGCAAAAAGGAGATTGAACTTAGACTGCTAGAGGAGGGTAATGCCTGTAATGCAGCACCATCTCGGAGATCTGTGGCAACATGGATATCAATGGGGTTGACAATCGAGGAGGCTCAAATTGCATTGCTCATCAAGGTCTGAAGGATCAGAAAAAGAACTATGGAGACACAGAGATTAGACGTTGCCCAGCAGTGAGATCATCTCCAAGGCCAGATAGATGGATTTATTCGTTCTGCTGTCACGCATCTGGGAGAGGGATTTGATGCAGATGACGATCCTGATGACTTGAACATAGACATTCTAGATGATCTCAATGATGACCCAGAAGATTTCACCGAGACATCTGATACATGGACAAACTCCCCTGAGCTCACTCTGATCCCATTGCCATCAAATCTCAGGGTAGATCAATGCAGACATATTAGTGGGTACGGGTACAGGTTAGACCTCTGACACCCAGGGGTTTACCCCTGCAGTTCCATACATACAACAATACAAATCTGAACGATCTCCAAAATGATGTTTTAGTTATAATGTGCGGAACCTTCAGTATGATTTGGATAGACCAGGTCAGCAACACAGAGGGCAGCCATTGCAGTTGCTGTTTTTTTTTGGACTCATACTCACACAACACTACAAATATCATATTACACCAAATTGTGACTTTGGTGTTGGATTAAAAACTCACAGAGGGTCATGTGGAGAGTTGAAGTAGGACATAGGTTGTTTGTTGCCCGCTCGGTGAACACATCTTGGCCAGTGCGCAAAGGTTACACTTTTTCACATGAGTTCCGGGTTGATATATGATACACACCAATTGGATATCTAATGGCATGAAGTGTCCCACAACTAACTGTCGAGGAGTCCCAACTTCAAGTGAAGGGGATGTACCATAAAAATACAGCAGCAGCGCAAGGCTACAACCTGTTGAAATGCTAGCCAACTTTCAATACAACTGCCAGTCATTGAGTATACAACAAAATCACCGGAGTATTTGAAACAAGATACGAATTGATTTCCACTTGCTTAGCAAATACATTGGACCTACCTCACCAGGTAACAGCATTTTCACACGGATTCCCAATTGATGTATGGCAAATAATCATTAGGTATCTGAAAACAGAGAGCGTGAAATTGAAAAAGCAGTACATACATTGATTCTCGCTCACTGGTTGAACACATTGTCGATCTTTGGGAAGATACCGCCTTTTACCCTCACTCTGACAATTATCCTATAACTGACGGACGTTGACGACATCAAACAGAGCGCGCGAAATTGAACAGCAGTATATACATAAGGTAAAGGGAGTTAATGGAAGCATCACTCTACAAAAGACAGCTACCGCTGACGGATAGTGAGCCTGAACAGCCGGCACGGCAGCCGCACAGATCTGGAAGGTGTTGAAGAACAAGGTGACGGTGTACCATGAGAAGAAACTCTGCATCTATGCCAAGGTTTCTGGAGATGAAGGTGGGCTTGCTGAAGACATTAGGCGTAGTCATGTTGTATTGAATTCATACCTGTCTTTGCACCCTTCTGAAGGACAGCGGAGCTGTATCCGTAGACGTCGAATGTGGAAGCTAAAATGGAGGGCCTTTTTCGATTCAAGTTCGGCATGCTTTGCAAACAGCTGACCGTCTGACACATTATTCGCCACTGCCATAAAGGGTACAAGTGACATACAAGGATCCGTTGCAGGTTTGACGGGGCTCGGGTATCAAGTCGTTTAGAGGGATCTGTAGTTGTTATGAGTAAAGTTATGAATCAGGAGGAAAGGGCCGCATCATATCCGCATGGCTCACGTTTTGAGGTCATCCTCGTAATTGTAGTACACGTTGACCCCAGATCCACAACCGGTATTAAGACAGTTCCGAATCGATGCATGGGGATGTGGCGGTATACATGATCCTGAGGACATCCAGAACAGATCGTCAAATGTGTTTTGGTGTCGAAAATCCAAAAGTCGGTTTCCTTGCACGGCCGATCCGAATTCGATTCTGCTCGCGTTCCGAAGAAGATATTTGATTCTTTAGCATGATGGATTACAGACATATTTTATACAAAGAGGTATTAGGTGGTGGAATGAAGCTGACATCCGACACGAGGGAGTGGCATGCGTAGGTGTGGTCGGCGGTGTTGTGCGCGTCCATGAGTTGCAGAAAGGGCGGTTCGATGTCAACTGATTGCCGCCGCGATCACGTGGATGTTTTGGTTCAATCGCGTCCGATCATCATCACCCTGTCTTATCCCATTTTTGACGTTCGGAGCGCTCGTAACACCGGAGAAGTCGAGTGAAAACCAGATCGAGTTCAAGTTGCAATACGACCCTTCTTTACCACTTCATGACTCTACTCCGAACAAGGACCAGCAGATCTCATCAAACGGCATAATGGTTCGAAGTCTCGTAAATCGCTCCTGTATGTCACTTGTACCCTTCACAGTGGCGAATGCTAACGCGTCAAAAGAATCATTTCGTACGTCGACGGACGGACTCTGAAACAATGGTCAGCTGTTTGTGAAGCATGCTGAACTTGACCTGAAAAAGGCTCTCCGTTTCTAGTTTCCACATTCGATCTCTACGGATACAGGGTCGCTGTCCTTCCAGAGGGTGGTATATAACCCGTCGCGTGGACTCAGCAATTATTAGGCCACGTCTGAACGTCGAACGCCAAATTTCTTGTATTTTCAATCTCGAATTCGACTCTACACCATGGATTCAAATGCCTTCGTCAAAAAGCTCACCTTCAAATCCCAGGATCTCGGCGCAAACATCGACCTTCTTCTGACTTTCGACGATCAGCCTATCGGTGAGCTGTACAAGAAGTATTACCCATCGGCTTTTGCGTACGTATATCCTTCATGTCTTCATCTTTGTTGTCGCGCTCACTCGCTGATGTGACTTTTCGAATAGGGTCAGGAAATTTGCGGCCGATGGTGGGTGAATACTATCACTGCTTTGGGCTATCTAAATAAGCACCGACACCTGCAGGCGCTTACCACTGCGAAATTGTGTATCGATCACAGTAAGGGCGACTCGAAGCTTGTGCGAAGAGCTAATTTACGACGAACCCCTCAGACTTGCGTTCACCAAGGTTGTTGTTTCCAACGACGTCATCCAAAGTGCTTCGACCGAGGTTTCTATCGACGTGAGAGTCGGATGGATTCACGAATTTGTCGTTGATCTCACGGACTGCTACTTAGGTTGGGCAATCTACCATTCTAACCCAGAAGGGCGAGGTATACCAATTTTCCGTAAGTACGCCTACTGGCATTATCGATGTCCGTTTGCGAGACAAGCTTAGGATCCCAAAACCGACCCATTGGTGCCGAAGAAGAATATTCAATGTACGAACAGCGCACCATACAAACAGGATATAGGGGTCGGTACGTATAACTGCTATCTCGAGATTTCTCGCGCTACATATTGTTCAGGTTTCATCGAGCAAGACGGGGCCATGCCAAAGACGGCTCTAGTTTGGCGCGGCGTAGGGCACGCGCAGAAGTTGAACGCAGAGTTTACTCCGATTCTACGCGGGTATATTGGCACGGACTACCAGGAGAACAGCTTGATCAAGGGTCAAGTCGAGACCGATCGTCTCTTCGAACAAGATCTTGCTGCTCTAGATGACAATACTACGTGGAACATCACGTATGAGCCCTCCACCGGAGTCTTCAGCATCGATCAGGTTTGAGATATGATCTTTTGGATATTTCCTTTGTGTTCCAATTGTTTACCTCTGACTTTAAATTTGTTCTTGAACGTTGGCTGCTGTCGTGTACTTCAATATGTTTGTGCTCTTCCAATGATTTCGTTACTGTGTCGCAACTCAATTCCGTCTGTTATGTGACTTGTGCCTCCAAAGCGGACGACGATAAGTGACCGGGCTGCAAAAGAAGTACTGCCTTTCAGCTTTTGCGTATGTGTATCCCTATATCCTTCATCTTTTCATCTGTCATCAATGAACCCATCAGTTCTTGGCGTTGTGGCCTTGGCGATTGTAGACGGATCTAATTCTGCTGCCGCTAAATATGACCATATATACTCCGAGAAACTTGGCTTTTAAATTGAGACTGCTCAATTCTAACACACCAGCAGGCTCCTTCTTGAATCCCAGCCCCACGGTCGAGTCTATACTGACATAATCATACATTAAATAGATTGTGATCATCAGTTAATTGCCATACATGAATCATTGTAATTACCACTTGCAATCAAGTAATGTATGAGGATGACATCAGCAAAACCCAAATGGGGTAGGTGGCACTGCATGTTGCTGTACAGTGACTCAGGGTTCACAGAGAGGTCCCCCCATGCGCAGCCGAGCCACAGTACATAATCCAGATGCGTCATGCAGTCAGGTACAGTGACCGTTAGTTACCGAGTACGGCATAGCGCTGCACAACATTGTAGCGCTGTATGACACTGTATAGCAAAAGTTGCTATACAGTGTCATACAGCGGCGCATGGTGTTCTGTAGCACTCTTGATATTACACTACTATATTACCAGTACTGCTACTGTTCTTGCACGCAATGATACGAAAGCTAACTTCAATGATAATTCAATTTGAAATAAAACAATGAAAGGACTAGTGGTATGTAGAACTACGTGAGATCAATGTCCCACTCTGAGCCATCGTCACCTTCGTCAGCACCAAGGCCAGTGCCATGTACGTTCCTAGTAACTTGATGGTCAATATACTGCTACCGCTGTGAAAAACTATGTCGAAACTTATATGCCTTCCAATGCCCAAGATTTAAGCATTTGACGTAGTTTTGGTCCGTGATATGCATCTTTGTTCGTGCGGTCGAACAGCGTTGAAATACAATTGTATGAAGTCTCCGAATCCTCGATAGGTGTTTGCTTGGCGCCATTTACCTGGCCATACTTACTGTAGATATATATAATATTGCAAATCTTGGTGGGATAAACTCAGAATCAGTGAACGCACTTAAGCATACTACAAGCGCACTCACAATAGTCCCAACGAGGAAGAGCACTGTGGGCAGGATGGTCTTCTGAAACTCGGCAAATTGCTTTAGCGATTTGGATCCATTGTCATAAAATGACTTATGGCAAACGATGCGGACTGTGTCGTTTGCAAAGTTAGATGCACGACCCTACAAGATGTTTAGAATTGAGGATCAAGGATGATGAAGGACGTAGTACCTCAGAATCAGGATGGCCATGCAAATACATTGCTTTTTTCAACAAACCAGTTGCCTTGAGTTTGACACTTTCAATCATGTTCCTGTTGACACCGAGGGCAAGTTCATATGCCATTGGAACAACAGTAAGTACAATTTGTTTGATCTTGCTGCGGAATGTCGCGGCATCATTAAAGACCTAAATCTGTGTGACCTCGTTAATGGAAACATAAGTTAGTGCAACTTGGAGCGCTCACCACAGTAGCCATCCCCGTTTTGAACTCGGGGTAGTAACCTTTGTATGTGTGTCAGTGTGTGGTAGCATTGCAATGCGAGAAAATACCTTTCTCGAGTTTGTGTTTCTGTTCTTGCCACTGTATGATTGCTTCCGCGATCACTTCACCACAGACTCCGGTACCACCAATGGATTTCTCTTTGTCAGGGAATGGGACTGAAGTAACAATATAAAGCCTGAAATTAGCCTTCGCACGGTCAAGAAGTTTTTGCCAGAGTGAGGAGTAGAACCCAACATTAGTTGCATCACGATTGTTAGCAGCACCCTTCGCTTTCTTGGTGCGGTGACGCCTCCCATTGTTGATATCGACCTCATTGAGATCCTCCAAGTTGTCCTGCTGATTGGAGTCGTTACTTGACAGCGAGGTTCTTGTGTGAACGTGCTTAGCCTTTGGATGGTGGCTCCATATGCTGCTCAAATACGTAGGGGACGGAGAATGTGGTGGACGGTTTTTCATGTGGTGGGCCTGGAGGATATCATAATCGATATTCGGCTGAAAAATAATGTTAGTACAAGGTGATAGTATGGGTGAGTACTTACGACTACGGGAGTGTTCAAACGACTCAGAACTTGTTTGTTAGCACTCTGAAGACTTGATTGCTTTGGCGCCATCCTTCTAGTGGTGCGGTTGTTCTGATAATCACGGTCCATGCCAGCCACTCCTGCACCATCAGAATCCTCATCCTGCGAATACAGACTGAGATCAGGTGCTTGCATAGGGCGTCTAACTTGCTTGCTGCCAGGATAGGTTTGGTCACCATGTCGTGGGGGGTGCATGACAGTGTCACTCTCGTAGAAATCCTCCTCATGCTCCATAAGGTCATTGGCATCATCGTCTTGTGTGAAATCTCCACCCTCAAGCTCGTTATCGACATCATCATCTTCCGCAAAATCACCACCCTCGTTAGACACGGCATCCTCTTCAATGTCCTCTTCAATGTCCTCTTCAATGTCTGCCTCTTCACGACCTTCTTCAGTTCCAGTGTGAGCAAAGGTATGGCAGGGGGTCATGGTCACTGATGGCTCCCACTGGACAGCAGTGTTGAGAACAGGAACAGTTGAGCCCGAGCATTGTTTGGTAACAGATTGAGAGACACTACGAGGAACAATACAAGCACTAATAGGATGCTGGACAGCTGGAGTCCTGGTTCCAGCAGCCTGATGGTCATGAGGAGCGCCATGCAAGGCGCCGCGAGAGACACTGCAAGAACCACCGCGAGAACCACCATGCCAAGAACCACCACAAGAAATACCACAAGAGATGCTGTGAGAAGCACCTTGAGAGGTATAGGGCCGGGCAGGAGATATCGTTAAGTCAGGCTGAGGATACGTTTGGTAAGACTGGAGTGGCTTGGAACCAACATATGTTGAGAGAACTGGATGACCCTGTAAACCAAACCTTCCTTTATCTGTGATGTGTAGAGCAGATGCAGGACCTGCAGCACTAGGGCCTGACTCAGATGCCTCTTGCTAAATGCCAAACATTAGTACTGAGATAGTCAAGAATTGATGGTACTGCCGTGATGGTGCAGTTACAGAAATGAACATCAACCAAGCGGGTACTTACTATTGCACTTAAGTTTCTATCCTGAGAAACTTTTCCTTTCCTCTTCTTTTTTGCCACTGGGGCCATCGCATTTTCAGGTTCGTCAAACAGGACGATGTTCTGAACCTTCAATTTTCCAGCTGCTCTGGCTGGAGCCTGAATAGCATTTCCTATCTTCTCTAGCTGAGAATTCCTTCCTCCAGCACCAGCACCAGGTCGGTTGGAACAGCGATGAGGAGGTTGGACCGACGTCACTGATTCATTGTCGATATCCGATTCTTGAATGGACGGGACTCTGACTTGTTGCCCCCTCTGTCGGCCCATGGTATTGCCAACACACGACTAGTAGGTGGGTGATGGAGAAAATGAACCTTCAAAAGCAGGTTAAAAAATGGTTACAGCATCATGGGTAGTACTACCAGTCATGGTGCTGCTTAATTACTAAGTGGTACCGAGTCCGAATCATACTGTCGGCACGTGCATGCTGAGTTACATACTAAGCAGTGTAGCAGTGCGCACAGTGTACTTAGTAGTACCTCTATCCTGACTCCCTGCTTAATGACACTCAACTGCCCTAACTGTTTGAAAGACTTCAAGAGCGCTTGGGCTGTTTCACGACACCTGAGCCAGCCTCTCACATCCTGTCTATGATGGGTCGATCAGCTTGAGACTGCCGCGCAAATTTTGCAAGACTCACAGTTGGCAGACCAGCATGCAACTCCTGGTTTATCTCCTCATTACAGAACATCAAGCCCTGTTCAAGATTTCCAAATGGACTTTGAATTGCAAACTGATAGTGAGGAAACAGCGTATGTTCAGGACATGAATGACTCGGCGGGCTATTTCTATGGTGACGAGGGAGGTGTGGTGGGCTTGGAGAGTGATCTGCTAGGGTCGGTTGAAGAGCCTTTGTGCAGCCAAGCTTTGGAGAAGCCTTATGTCGAGCGCTTCAGGAACGCTGCGAAAGTGTATCGGTGCGGCCAGACCTTTCAGGATAGGTTTAACATGGATCCCTATACAGCATATCGCAAAGACAATCTTTACTATCCATTTGCATCCCGTCAGGACTGGGAGCTCAGCAGCTTTCTCCTGTGCTCATCATTAAGTATGGCCACCATAGATGAGTTCCTGGGGCTTGAAATAGTACGTCTTGAGTCAGCTGGCATCTTACTGTCACAAGTGCTGATTTCTCTGCAGGTTAAAGCAATTTCTGTCTCTTTTTATATGGCCAAGGAGTTGCGTGGTCGTGCTGAGCTGCTACCTCCTGTTCCGAAATGGCAGTACCGCATAGTCTCAACCACTCATCCAACAAAACAGCCTCTCCATCTTTACTGGTGCAATCCATTGGATTGCATCGAATCACTTTTTAGCCACCCATTCTTTGCTAATGAAATGGACGTCACACCGCAATGTGTCTATGACACACTGGAACGTACATCATGAATTTACAATGAATGGTTGACAGGGGACGCAGCATGGTTGATGCAGGTATTACATACCTTACTATCAACTGTCTCTAACTTGCTAACTCTCACACCTCATCGTAGTCACAACTTCCGGATGGTGCGACATTGTTAGGCGTTATATTGTCCTCTGATAAGACCAACATTACCAACATGACTGGTGGACGTGTCGCTTACCTGCTCCTGATCAGCCTTGCCAATATCAAGATGGCAACTCGAAACAAGGTGTCCTCACATGCTTTTCTCCTAACAGCGCTGCTTCCAATTGCCGAATTTCTGCATCCGGTGAAACAGATGCAGAGTGTTCTTGAAGCCCGCTTGGTCCACCAGTGTCTAGATATTGTGCTAGAACTGCTCAAGCAAGCTGCACGCATCGGCTGGATGATGTCAGACCCACTTGGGAACCTCAGATACTGTTTTACTCCCTTAGCTTCGTACATTATTGATACACCCGAGGCATGCATGCTCGCATGTGTCCGGGGAAAGACCTCACCGGTAACTATGGCTATGTACAAAAAATTTGGAGATGCCTTCCAACACTCCCCTCAAATAGCTAAAACGACTCTCGAGCAGCTTTTGAGCATTGCTTGTGACTCCCTTGATGTCGAAGGTTACTTTGATGCATGCACTCCATTCCGCCTGAGTGGCATAGCCCAGCCATTCTGGTGTGATTGGTCACTTGCGGATCCGCATGTGTTTTTCACTCCCGAAGCCCTGCATCACTGGCACCATGAATTCTATGATCACAATGTTAAGTGGTGTCTTGCAGCTGTTGGAGAGCAGGAACTAGACTTTCATTTCTCCGTTTTGCAGCCACTCACAATGTTCCGACACTTCAAGGATGGCATTTCCAAGCTTAAACAAGTAACTGGAAGAGCCCAACGTGATATGCAACACTACATTGTTGCTCTCATTGCCGACGCAGCCCCCCGTAGTGTTGTCATAGCTGTTCGTGCACTGATGGACTTCTGCTACATATTGCAAGCGACAACAATTGACGAAGCGCATTGTCAAAAGATTCTCGATGCCCTCAAGGAATTTCATGAACACAAGCAAGGTATCATTGCTTGTGGCGCACGCCGAGGTGCCAAGAGCGGACAGGTCCTCAACAACTGGCATATACCCAAACTGGAGTTGATGCAGAGTGTTGAGCCCAGTATACGTCAAGTCGGCTCTCTCTTGCAGTAGTCTGCAGACACCACAGAGCACGCTCACATCATCCTTATCAAGGATCCTGCAGATTCCTCCAATAACATCAACTATGATGCTCAAATATGCTGGTTTCTTGATCGCTGAGAGAAGTGTCAAAACTTCCATATTGCCACATCAATAATCACTCGTTCACAATCCCAGTCACAAGCTTCTACTCCCCAAACAACGGACACCGGTTCAGAACATCATGATGAGTCGGACGATGAAGATCCACACGCCGATGAATCACCCTTGCAAACAGTTTTGGATGATCTCCGGGGGCCGAAGCGTGTAGTGACCGATTTCTTCAAGAAGGCCAAGCAAGTCTCCTCATATATGCAAGTAGCCAGACCTCTCCACACATTCATAGTCAGTGCAACAGCAATCCACCTGAATTTCGATCCTTCAATACGACACATACCAGTTGATGTCGTCGCTGAAAAATTCTCTCTACCCGACTTGCGGGGAGCACTCGCTGACTATATTCAATGAGAGGGTATGGCTCAGAGCTTCCACTCCCTGAGGGGACAACGCAGAGCATTGCCTGACACACCTCTTCCATTTAATGACCTTATGGTCTGGTTTAAAGTACATGTGCAGCAGGCATCATACCACAGCCCATCAATCATTCCTCCTGCTCTCACAGTCAACGCATCTTCTCCGAGCGCAACTTGGAAGTATGGGCACTATGACACCGCTATTTTCACTGTTGATGACACCAGACGTGAACAATGGCCTACTAGTGGGCTTAAAGGTATGTTTCTCAGATGTCCATTTGTATAGTACTGTGTCCGAGTTTGACATCCGAGCAACTTGCAGGCTATGATGTTGTTGAGGTGCACCTTATCATGCAACCACTTCTTCCACGAGGAAAAACCGGTACTAGTGCCCCTTGGGCCACACGGTTTCTTACTTATGTTTAGCACCTCGATGTTATGCCTCAGCGTCATGGAAGCTTGCTGAAATGCACGACACAGATGCATATTTTAAGATGTGCAATGTGATCAGCAGGGACTCCCTTCGGTGATATCCTCCCACTAGATCAACTTTGTTCTTTTGCTCACATCATCCCCTGCTTTGGTTGTGCTGCTGATTCTTGTTTAACTGCACAAAATAGTACTCACTTTGCTCAAACATTCTTTTTAAATAAATACATCGACAAAGACTTCTACTATGCTATCTCGAACTAGTAGTTTTTTGCGTCACTATGATTCAATTGCATTGCAAATACTAGTAAGCACTAGGTTTAGGATGATAGTTTATATTAACAATTGAAGAACTCTCAATGTATGACACTACGTGTTGCTGCATGACACTGCACAATCCTATATTGCATAAGGACCTGCTGTGTATTGCTGTATAGCGTCACCTCAGGCACGTGGCTCTCGGCTGACTAAAACTTCAGTCAATGGAGATGATTGGTTGCATCATTATCCTACCCTCTCTCAATGCCTGTCACTGGCAATCTCACTAGCATGGCTCTTCCAACTCTTTATTCTAAGCTCTCCAAGAGTTCAAAGTCTTGGCTCCCAAAGCCATCCTCAACCAATTTGATTGGGCCTCCTTAATCATGTGTACAACTCAAGAAAATCTCCTGTTCAAGCTCTTTGCATAATCAAGTTCCAAAGGATACAGAGCTTCAAGACAAGCAGATTTTTGAAGACCTCAAGACAGCAACAAAGTCAAGACTCGGGGTTCAATTTACAGACTTGGATAATCAGGGTTCTTTAAGCTTAGGTTAATATTTCTCAGATCGCTTACAATGCCACTTCAATTTCAACAACAAGGATGCTTCTACATTTGCAGAGGGGGTAGGTATGTGTTCACCTTATCAGTATCTACTAATTTCTGGCCTCAACTCACCCCCGCAGACCCTTCACCCCACATTGCAGATGGGCGATGTTGAACACATGTTAGCTAACACCGCAAAAAGTTTGAAGGGGTACATCATATCATTGATGGAGGGCATGGGTCTTGAGGCGTCTGTAGTCAAGAGTGCGCGTGATTCCCATCCCGTGTTTGAGCCCTCTTGGGGGGCAGCCCTCAACTCTATCTCCTCCACAATTTACCTCACAGCATATTGTCGCTACTTGGACTGGCGCAACCACAAATACGACAAACACAAGTTGATGCATGTTGGCATTCAACAACCCTCAGGCTCCGAGTCTACCAGTAGTACAACCAATGCTACTTCACTCTCATCCATTCCAACAACTTCCTCCTCATCTGATCTGACGACTTGCACCTCGTCCAGCATGACGCCGGCCTCTTTGTCTACTGGGTTATCATTCGACGCGCAGCCTGAGCGCTCAGCGAAGAAATCGAAGTTTCAGCCAGAAGGTGAAGGGTCTAAGGGAACCCTGAAGAAAGAGGCAAAGGCGCAGGTGAATGCGAGTAGCAAGGGGAAGGGAAGGGGAAGGGAAGGGGAAGGGGAAGGGGAAGGGGAAGGGGAAGGGGAAGGGGAAGGGGAAGGGGAAGGGGAAGGGGAAGGGGAAGGGGAAGGGGAAGGGAAGGGGAAGGGGAAGGGGAAGGGGAAGGGGAAGGGGAAGGGGAAGGGGAAGGGGAAGGGGAAGGGGAATGGTCGTTAATAGTGGGCTCTTGTCATGTCATTCATCAAGGGTAAGTGTCCATTGCCCAACTCGACTTTCTCTTAACACTAACAATTTACAATTGGTACTTCAAGCTTTGATCTTCGCTTGTTCTGATTCTACCATCACACTCCGAGTCTTTGAGTTTACTAGCCTACTGCTGCTAGTTTGACACATTTTTTTGTACTACTACTGCGGATGTTTCTCCTGTACTATATGCTAGTTAGCTAGGTGCTATCTATCATGTGTCACATCACGTTTGATTACTCTCACTCTCGGCGTGACCCGGCAGGAAAATTGAACAGCACAACTTCAATGTCCTCCAGTGCCCAGCATGCAGCAGTTACAAGGATCTCACCCAATCAAAAGCGCTCACAAGAGCCCCACACCTAACTAACAACACCAGAAATTCACAGAACACATGCACTGGTACCACCAAATCCAATAGGATCTTTTTCTGCAGTCTCCAGCTCAAGCGCAGAAGGACCAGTCGTAAACATATCCATTCATCGCACTCCGTCCAAGTTGTCCATCTCTGAGGCTCAACATACATCTACTGTACTAGTACCTGGTACCACTATGCAAGGAGTTCTGCATTCTAACTTGACGCACATTGGAATGCCTAGGGCCATTGGTGCTCTGCGAAATCGATCTACCAGAAGCTGGAAGGAAGTTGGAGGACGCTGATATCGACATCGGTTATGTATGTCATTTGGTTCGCAAAATCAGCATCACATTGCTCGAGGACTTTCCTACCAGTAAGCCTTGAAAATGTCGTCGCAAATCTGCAAGTCAGCTTGATGGTGACACACTCAGCCTGGAAGTAAATGTGGCTCTGCCACTGCCATTAGCAGGTAATTAAACTCTGTTAAATTTATTCGACACTTGTACTGACACATTTTCTATGAAGTAGATACAGAATCTGTGAGCACAACCCAGAGCTGAGTCAAACACTTGATTCTGAGGTGGCGTCCGATTCCTTGACCTGCTAGTGTTCAAACTGGTAGAATTATTATATATACTTCTGGCATGACATACTATCATACTGTTCTGACTTGATACTATCCCATCTACTGTATTAGCAGTCGCAGGAGTACATACTTTGAATTTATGTTTGTTTCAAGCCGTTTTCAATGTTCAAACTTTAGTTAAGAGCTGCCAATGTACTTACTCAAGTCGCTCGCTGTAGCACACTGTGTGGTGCTATGTCGCGCTGCAGAAGTCTACTATATGTACTGTATGTCATCATTACAGTTTACGGGGTCACTATACATCACTACAGGTGCCTGCAACTGCTGTAAGATGCTGTAAGTTGCCACGGTAGCTGTGCTAAATTTAGTGTTTTGCTGATGTAAGTATATTTTATATCCTTGTGTCTTACACTACTAATTTACACTCGAAGTTGAATGCTCAGCAATACCCAGTATAGGCATCTCTTGCCTGTGACTACTTATCTATCATGGCTACATCAGTCTCTAGTGAGCATGCTTTTTCAGCTGCTGCTCTAACTATCACCAAGCGGCGAAATCGCCTAAAGGGTGATATTGTGGAGGCTATCCAAGTCTTACACATGTTGTACAATTATGATCTTATGTTTCATGAGCCTCCCCCTTCATCTGCTTTAGAGTTAGCATTAGAAGAGCCAGAAGTTGGTGAGGAAGGTGATTCTGGTGTTCAAGGGAGGACTGCCTGGGATTTGGAGCTATCTGATATACCATCTGACTAGTATTCAAATAAATAAACATCATTTTCCATCATTTTCTTTGATTTTTATTGAGAGGCCCTGGCCTGGGTTTTTGCCAGGCCAGAGCCCTCTAAAGCCAGGCCCAGGCCATCGCTTTCAGGCCAAGCCAGGCCCGGCACATCACTATGCAGTAGTTCTCGAGTTTTAAAAAATTAAGGTTCACATCCATTATCCTGAAAGGCATCATAAATTTGTCCATTTGTCATCCCTTTGAGGTACCTTTTGCATGGTCAAAAAGGCCCTGGTTGCTTCCGCTGCAGTGTATATACTAGTACAAGGCTACTCTATTGGTGCGTGACTTTTTCGTTTGTTGATGCTGTTCTAACTATTTGCTCGGACAGATTTCCAACGAGTTTGTGCATTCCAATTTCCCGCATCTTTCTGTTATCTTCATTTGAGGTCATGGCATAAATTTTCTCCCTTTATTTGACATTTAACCTACATACCCCCAACTGAAACTTTGCCTCGAGGTGTATTGTGCTTTACAACAAGATAACGACATCAAACCAACATGATAGTGTACTTGCCAGCATGTGAAAGAAGTTCATAAAAACGAAATGTTCAACAGGTCATCGTAGCTCTTGAACCTCGCTCTTTATCTCTTCATCGATGCTAAAGACTCCTTGGGACTTATCATATGTGATGACCCACGTGGTACGCCTGTCGAGAGCAGTGAGGTCTTTGTCGAAAAGGCGGTCATGCTGAATTGCGCGCTTGATCAAGTCATCCTCACGGTAGAGGTCTGTATTAATATACCCGCGTAGGACCGGCTTGAACTCTGCGTTCAACGTCTGCCCATGCCCTATGCCGCGCCAAACTAGAGCCGTCTTTGGCATGCCCCCGTCCCGTTCGATGAAACCTGGACAATATGTAGCGCGAGAAATTTGAAGATAGCAATTATACGTACCAACGCCTATATCCTCCCTGAATGGTGCGTTGTTTGTGCATTGAATACTTTTCTTCGGCACTGAGGGGTCGGTTTTGGGATCCTAGGATTGTCTGGCAAACAGATATTGAGAAGGCAAGTAGACGCACTTACGGAGAGATGGTATATGTCATTTCCCAGGGTTAAAATGGTATATTGCCCAACCTAAGTAGTAGAGCATAAGCCAGCGACAAATCCATGGTTCCATCAGACTCTCACATTAATGGGAACCACAGTGGAGGCACTTTGGATTACATCGTCAGAAACAACAACCTTGGAGAACGCAAGTCTGGTTGATCGTAAATTAGCTATCCACATGAAATGTCGAATGTTCCTTACTGTGATCGATATGTAAAATCCGCGCAGTAAAACCCTGCTAGTCATACTGTTTATTTAGATGGCCCAAAGAACTAATAATATTCACCCGCCTTCGGCCCCAAATCTCCTGATCCTGTTCGGGAATCCCTTCAGTGAGCATGCGGGAACAAAGACGAAAATATGAAGGATATACGTACTCAAAAGCCGAAGGGTAATAATCCTTGTACATCCCAACGACAGGCTGATCATCGAAGGTGAGAAGAAGCTCTACGTCTATGCCGAGGTCCCTGGAGATGAAGGTGAGCTTGTTGGTGACAATCGGAGTCATATCGTATTGAACCCGAGATGGAAAGTAAGAGGAAGTTAGTGTTCAGTCGTGTATGGCCTGTGGCTGAGTTGACACGACTTATATACCCCTCTCCGGAAGGACTGCGGCCCTGTATCCGTAGGAATCGAATGTGGAAGCTGGAATCGGAGGGCCGTTCTCGATTCAAGTTCGGCATGCTTTGCAAACAGCTGATCACTTTCACAATACTCGCCCGTCGACGTAAGAAATGATTCTTTTGACACATTATTCGCCACTGCCATAAAGGGTACAAGTGACATACAAGGATCCGTTACAGGTTTGACAGGGCTCGGTAGCATTGTACGAGACTTTGGTTTGAGGGGATCTGTTAAACGTTGTTGTTTGTAGTAACGTTGTTGAGGTTATCCTGTACACGACGTTGACCCACTGGGATATCCACAACCGGTGTTAAGAGAGTTCCGAATCGATGCATGGGGATGTGGCGGTACATAATTCTCAGAACAGATCGTCAAATGTGTCTCGGTGTCGAAAATCCAAAAGCTGGTTTCCCTGCACGGCCGATTCGAATTCGAATTTGCTCGCGTTCAGAAGAAGATATTTGATTCTTTAGCATGATGGATTACAGACATATTTTATACAAAGAAATATTAAGTGGGTGAATCGAGGTGACTCATCTGACACGAGGAAGTGGTGTGGTCGGCGGCGCGTGCGAGTAATAGTCCTAGTTCCGGGAGTTGCAGTTTAAAGGGCCCGGGGTAGCGATCACGTGGATGTTTTGGTTTCATCACGTCCGAGGACCGATTATCGCATCCTGTCTTATCCCATTTTGACGTTTGGAGCGCTCAACACCGCAGAAGTCGAATAAAAACCAGGTCGGGTTGCAATGTGACCCTTCCTTACTACTTCATAACTTTACTCCGAACAATGACCAGATCTCATCAAACGGGATAATGGTTCGAAGTCTCGTAAATCGCTATGGAATTCTGCATGTCACTTGTACCCTTTACAGTGGCGAATATTAACGCGTCAAAAGAATCATTTCGTACGTCGACGGACGGGCTCTAAAACAATGTTAAGCTGTTTGTGAAGCATGATGAACTTGACCTGAAAAAGGCTCTCCGTTTCTAGTTTCCAGATTCGATCTTGACGGATACAGAGTCGCTGTCCCGTCTTTGTTGTTCTGCTCTCTCGCTGATTAGTAACTTTTCGAATAGGGTCAGGAAATTTGGGGCCGAAGGTGGGTGAATATCACATCTGTTTCTAGTGATGTCATCCAAAGTGCTTCGACTGAGGTTCCTATCCAGGTGAGACTCGGATGGATTCACGGATTTGCCGAAGGTTTCATGGACTGCTAGTTAAATTGGGCAATCTACCACTTTAACCAAGAAGAACGACTTATACCGTTTTTGCGCAAGTACGCCTACTGGCCTTATCAGTATCCGTTTGCGAGACAAGTCTAGGATCCCGAAACCGACCCCTTGGTGCCGAAGAAAAATATTCAATGTACGAACAACGCACCCATACAAGGAGGATATAGGCGTTGGTACGTATAATTGCTATCTCGAGGTTTCTCGTGCTACATATTGTCCAGGTTTCATCGAACGGGATGGGGGCATGCCAAAGACGGCTCTAGTTTGGCGCGGGGTAGGGCACGCGCAGAAGTTGAACGCAGAGTTTAAGTCGGTTCTACGCGGGTCTATTGGCAC